TTCCTAGAGTTGGAAAGAAATGGAACTTACTTCTCCAGGAATGTGACACAGGCTTTCTGCCCATAGATCTGTGCGATCCTCTTCGGCGTGTCTCCAAAGAAGTCGGGGGGGTCGATGGCGGCGTGCAATGCATGGAGCATTTTGAGCACATGCAGATGGCCTGACTCAGCTGCAAAGTGAGCTGGGGTCCAGCCCACATCAGTTACCAGGCAGGGTCTGGCTCCACACTGTATGAGGAGCTTCATCACCTCCATATGCCCTTACATGCACCAAGAAGAAAGAGAAGGTTACGATGAAAATGTCTCCACTGGCCCAAGGCCACGGGTAGTCTAGGCAGCACAAAAGAGGGGAAGACATTGGCCTTTGAGGCCCCTCCAGCTGCTCAGCATCTTTCCCTCCTCCCTTTTTCCTCTCAGTACCCCACCCTTACCCCAAGGAACCAAGATCTCACTCACCCAGGGGCTGAGGCCCTCTATATATTCCTTCTACTCCTCCCTGACACTCCCCTCCCAGCCCTGCCTAGAAATCTTGCTTTCCCTCCCAAGTCACTCTACCCCTGCCTTTGTTAGCACTGGCAAGCTCCCTGCTTTTGGCAGTCTCCAGGCTGATTTCAAAAACAAATATTTCACTACAGCATAGATGGACCTTGAGGGCATTATGCTAAGCCAGACAGAGAAAGACATGTCAGACAGATACCGTATGATCTCACTTATATGTGGAATCTAAGTAACAAAAGCCAAGCTCATAGGTACAGAGAACAGATTATATTGGTGGGTTCCAGCTGTGGGAGATGTGTGAAATGGGTTAAACTGTGAAATGGGTTTAACCCATGAAGTTTCAATCGCACTGTACATGTGTGCCCGCACGTGTTATCTTGTGGAAGAGCCACACTCAACGGGCCAAAGAGCCGCATGTGGCTCATGAGCCACAGTTTGCCGACCACTGGGTTAAGGTAGTCAAAAGGTACAAATTTTCAGTTATAAAATACAAGGTCATGGGGATGTAATATACAGCATGGCGACTGTAGTTAATAATTCTGTGCTGCCTCTTTGACAGTTGCTAAGATAGATCTTCAAAGTTATGACAAGAAAAAAAATTTATAACTAAGGTTGGTGATGGATGTTACTTTGACTTTTTGTGGTGATCATTTCACAATCTATATAAAAATCAAATTATTATGTTGCGTCCCTGAAACTGATATAATGTCATGTCAATTATACCTCCATTAAAAATATTTGAAGTTTCACTTACAATATAGCTAGCAAAGATTAATTATATAGGCTTTCTAGCCAGATAGATGGGGGGGTTCATACCTGACGATAAACACCACTTACTAACTATGGCACCTCAGATCAGCAACAGATGTCTAAGGCTCAGTTTTCTCATTTGTAAATAAAGGATATTACTACTTACCTCACTGAGTTCTAGTGAAGTACAAATGAAATCATTGATCTAAAGTACATAGCATAGTACTCAGCCTATGGCAAATGTTTGCTAAAAGGTACCCTAGTGTAGCTACCATGACATTGTACTTAAATTTCTACAGAATCCTCCCACCTGATTTCTCTGCAGCCAGTCCTTTCTGCATACAGGAACAAAACATATTTTTAGAAAGCAAAGTGGACTATAACACTTTCTTACTTAACACTCTTCAATGGTATTCTATTGCCAAAGGCCTTGACAAGGCCATTGTTGAATTTTTGCCATTTTCCTCCTCCAAGTTTATAACTAAGCCATCGTTAGGCATGGGGGATACAGCAATGAACAGACGAAGTCCTTGTCCTACTACAGGAATAATGCTCCCATCCTGCTAGCGGTCAAGAGGGCAGAGGATTAATATTAACTGAGAGTAGACTATGTGCTGGGCACTGCACACCATTATCTCACTGAATCCTCACTACAAGACTCTAAGATAGCATTACTGTTCCCATTATGTAGATGAATAAACTAAGGCTTAGAGACATTAAATAACTTGTCAAGGTGCTACAACTAGTAAGTGGTGGTGCTCAGATTGAAATGTTCCATCAGGCATTGATGTCTCTCTCTCTCTTTTTCTCTCTTTCTCCCTTCCTCCCTCTCTAAAAATAAACCAATAAAACAAATAAAAAATTATATCCTTGGTTGAGAATTAAAAAAAAAAAAGAATGTTCTTCTGGCTACCCCTCACAGATGCTGATTGGTACAATAGACTGCAGGGGATGGACTATGTTTGGCATTGCCCACTAAACATATTTTTAGAAAGCAAAGTGGACTATAACACTTTCTTACTTAACACTCTTCAATGGTATTCTATTGCCAAAGGCCTTGACAAGGCCATTGTTGAATTTTTGCCATTTTCCTCCTCCAAGTTTATAACTAAGCCATCGTTAGGCATGGGGGATACAGCAATGAACAGACGAAGTCCTTGTCCTACTACAGGAATAATGCTCCCATCCTGCTAGCGGTCAAGAGGGCAGAGGATTAATATTAACTGAGAGTAGACTATGCGCTGGGCACTGCACACCCATTATCTCACTGAATCCTCACTACAAGACCCTAAGATAGCATTACTGTC